CCCTTTCTATGAGATGGTGTTGGTGAGCCCTGTGCTCCTGAGACTGGGAGCAGCTCCTACAGAGCAGGGCCCTGTCCACCTCACAGAACATCTGCTTGGTCTCCCTGTGTGTCCCACACATATATTCCTCAGACCTCAGGAACCGCCTGAGGCTGGCTCTTCTGGCAATGGCCACCAGGCTCCTCAGAACCACGTTGGTTTTGAGGTTTCTCTGCTGGCAGGGTCCCCTGCACCCAGGGCACCTGGCTGGAATCTGGGTCTCTTCCCAGCAAAGGCAGAGACAAGGTCGACAAAAACTGTGCCCGCACTCTAGGGTGACTGGCTCTATGAAAGTATTCATACAGATGGCACAGCTCACTTCCTTCTGGAAGGCCTGGGCAATGTCAGGGTCCATCATTTCTAGAATCTAATGAGGTGCTGGTGGCTCACCCCTAAAAGCCTAGCTACCCAAGAGACTGGGATCTGAGGATCAAGCTTTGAAACTGCCGAGGCCACAAAACTCCCCCTGAGACAGACTCTTATCTCCAATTCACCACTCCAAAATCAGAAGTGGGCTTTGGCTCAAGTGATAGAGCAGTAACCTTGACCACAAAGGGGCCCTGGAACAATGCCCAGTCTTGAGCACAAAGTAGGCCAGGGACAGCACCCAGGCCCTGGGTTCAAGCCCCACAACCAACAAAACAACACCACCACCACCAACACCAAACCAAGGAGAGAAGTATTAAGAGAAGAGTAGATTCTCCCACTCTGATCCTCACCTGGAGTTTCCAAGATCCAAACGGACCTCTGTCCTGCTGCTGAGGGATCTTCTCCAGCAATGCTGAGTCTCAGACTTCTGCTCTATTTATACTTAAAGGGGGTGGGCCCAGGAAAGGGAGTGTCCCTGGGAGGTCTTTTAGGGAAGCTGATTTACATATCAATAGGAGTTGGAATTTACATCCTGGCAGCCACACCTTTCACCTCCTCTTTCAAGGAAAACTGCTTCTGACAATTTCCTTCTACAAAGACAAGGGTTTTTGATGTGGGTTAGGTGCAACTTAGGTTTGTCCAGGCTTGGAAAAGGTTTATTGTGTTTGTTTGGTTTTTGCTTCATATTTGTATTCTGTTTATCTTCTCTATTGGGACTATTGTTTGTTACTTTTCCACCAGACTCTAGGCAACTTTAGGTGGCATCATCCACTGTATCTTGTGGATCTTCAAAAGTAGCTGAGTTTGTGTTTGTTATTAGGTTATCATCCTATGCTTATTTTATTTTGAATTTGTGAGGACTTATGCTGGGCCTGTGCTTTACCACTTAAGTCATGTCCTCATCCACTTTCACTTTTTTTTTGGAATATGAAGTTTTATTTATGGTTAGCCTCTCCTGAACTATTCACACTTTGCCTCCAGCTGAGATAAAAGGCATATACCACCTTGTTTTGGTATTGGTTGAGATGTGATAATTGTTAGGTCTCCTGGGAATCCTCTCCCTTACACTTCTGCTTCATTTGCTTGAAAACTGTAATCACTGGACTATGAGCCAACACAGGATCCTAGACTCTGAGATCACTTCCTTATATGGTAAGATCATTTCCTGTACTGCCCTGTTCACCCCTCCCTCTAATATTGAGAAAGTCCCCAGGGCCTGAGATCACTTCTGCATCTGCTGAAATATAGCTCCCCCCATTTTCTATAAAATTTGCCTTTATGCAAGTCTCCTCTTTTTTTTTTTCCTTCCTCTCTTTTTTCTCCTGTGTATATTTTTTGCCAGTTAGTGCTTTGCTCTCTTCCCAATAACCTCTTTTCTCCCTCAATCACTTGGCAGGTTTCTTTCTAGTGAACCTTATATTCTTGGAACATTTTACCTAGGCAGGTTTTGAGCCATGATTCTCCCAACCTCTGTTTTTACTTTATTTCATCTATTCACTTTAATTACATTTTTATTTTATATTATTATGAATTTGATATACAGATGTATTACAGTTACATAAATCAGATAAACAGTACATTTCTTTTTCAAAAATTTCACTGTTTCCCTACCTATCTTCCAGCTTTCCCTCCCATCCCATCCATAAATTATGTATTTTGTTTTCAATATAGTATCCAGTAAATACCACTCTTGAACACTTTTCTTTCTTTCTTTTTTTCTTTTTTGTCCATTATGTGGCTTGAACTCTGGGTCTGAGCACTGTGACTGAGCTCTTCAGCTCAAGGGGCATATGCTTTACCACTTGATCCACAGTGCTACTTCTGGCTTATTCTGCTTATGTGGTGTTGAGGAATTGCACCCAGGGCCTCATGCATGCAAGGCCAGTCTTCTACCACTGAGCCACCTTCCCAGCCCCCACTGCTGCATTTTTTTCTCCCTTAGTCCCTTCTGATCCTCCCCTTATACTTCCAAAGACATATAAATATGCAAATAGAAAAGAAAAAGTAAAGAAAAACAGCAAAAAGAAAAAATAAAGATTAAATGCTTTTGTTTTCAGTTTCTCGGGTCCATTTTCATAAATAGTGTCATCAGGTCCTTCCAGGATATCAACCCCTTGCCTTCCCCCCTCCCACCTCTTCTTTGTGAAGAACAGCTTGCAGCTTTCACAGAAATCACCTGTGGCTGTAAATCACCTGACTGTGAGTCAACAGAAGGACCCCGGGCTTTGAGGTCACTTCCTTATTCTCTGAGGTCACTTCACTTCTTTGGGGCCATACCTCCTCCTCCCCTTTCCCTGCACAATATCATTCCACCATTAGTCAGTCTATTGCATGCTATACTTGTGCTATACCCTACTCTCCAGTGTGGCCTGGCACAACTCAGTATACTACATCTGGTACAGGTTAGAGGTTTGGTGCTCCTAATAAACTCTTTTCTGCCTGAACCAAGTGGTGTTCTCTTTTCAGCAATCCTTATAAGCATTACTTGGCATGATCAGATGCACATAGGCATAGGCATTGTGTCTTTCCAAGACCATATTTTATGTCACTTAAAAATTAGAGAAAAAGCCCAGCCCCAGCGGCTCACACATGTAATCGTAAAAACTCAGGAGGCCGAGATCTAAGGATCAATTTTTAAAGCCACTCCAGGCAGGAAAGTCCATGAGACTCATCTGCACTGAACTACACCAAAGTAAATAAATAAATAAATAAATAAACAAATGCCCAAAGTGGAACCATAACTCAATTGGTAGAGTGTTCGCCTTGAGCAGAAAAGCTCAGGGACTGTGCCCTCCCCCCTGAGTTCAAGCCTTGGAACTGTCAAGAATACGTAAATAAATAAAATAAACCCTTTGAATCTGGCCTAGCTTTTCAATCAGATTTAACCTGTGAATCCCAGAAGTTTCCATTTCTTCATTTCATTCTCAATCCTAGTGGTCCCAACTTCCTTCTTATACCTTTGAACTATTTTTTCAAGGTCGTAGTTTTGGTCTGCCTCGCACTGCCTCCTGAGAACCCATCCACTATCCAGAGAACAGCTCTAATTATCCACCTCCCTGATGTAGAAATCTTCTGATCACTACTCCAGGCTTAACAGAATAAAACTAAGACCTTTACCAGCAGGGACTTCCTCAGGTTATCCCCTAACAACATTCATCAGAACAAAAGTTTGCTAAATTGGCCCATTGTAGAGGGTCAGTTATTATGGTCTAATTTGTACTGGGGTAAACACACTTCCAGGAGTTTGGGTTTAAGCTGACTCCTCTTCAAATCTCAGCTTAGGCCTTTCTACAAGTTATTCTAAGGCTCTAAGTGGAAATAACATTGAATAAGAGACTGTGGGTAGAAGGTTCTCTTTGCCATTATTATGGCTTGAATGTGTCCTCATAAAAGTTCAAACTTTAGAAACATCTTCAAATTTATATATTAATGGTATTTGGAGGTAGGTACTTGAGGAAGTCATTAGGCTTCAATGAGGTCATGCCAGAAGGCTCCTGATGATGGCATTAATGGTTCTATGATCCTAATAATAGAGAAGGTGAGGAAGAAGTATCACAAGTTCAAAGCCAGCATGGAATAATTAATAAGACTATAAAGTGCTTGACACAGAATAACTGACCAATCAGCTCTTTCCTTCCTGATTTTGACAATAGCCTGTTCCAACAGATGATACTGGGTGACAAGTCACTATCTTGAGAAGATGAGCAGGCCAAGAATCCTCCAAAAAAATGAGGACTGTCTTAATCAATCTCCTAAGCTATTGTTCCTCATCCTTTTGTGTGTGTGTGTATGTGTTTGTGTGTGACCTCATTGCATCTCGGGTAAGCATTTTTTTCATCTCCATATGATTATGAGAGAAGGGATGAATACAGGACAATTAAGTGTCTGGAGTGAAAGAGAGATGGCAACAAACAGCAGAAGAGCATAATGTTGTATTGTTAGAATGGGTTGCTATTGTATGATTAGTATGCCTAGTATATAAATTAAGCTTTTCTATGATTATCAATAGAAAATTGCATGGTATATTTAGGATAACTATTCTCCATAGGGGTCTTGAACCCAATTACTTCTAGTTACAGAGCAAATACAACCAAATGCAATACTTACAAAAAATTATATGCCATTTAGTATTCTGTAGCTGCTTAGGCAATTATGGTCTAGGTGTCACCTTTAAATGATTACCATGAAATCATCCAATTTATCAAAAATTAGTAAAGACAAAAAGTAAATATAAGACAGCATTGAGTCTCACAAAGAAGTATGTTGAACATATCCAAGATAAAACATCTGGTGGCAAAATTATTTTTTTCCAGCAATCAAAATGCCTTAACAAAGCCAGGTGCCTCTAGTTTATATCTTTCACTCTAGCTACTCAGGAGACTGAGATCTGAGGATCACAGTTCAAAGACAGCCAGGGCAGGAAAGTACGTGAGCCTCTGATCTCCAATTAACCACCAGAAAATTGGAAGTACCACTGTGATTCAAGTGGTAGAGCACTAGCCTTGAGCTGAATTGCTGAGGGACAGCACCCAGGCCCAGAGTTCAAGCCTCATGACTGACAAAAAAAGCCTTAACATTGTGACTTTATTTTTAGTGAGTGTGTCAAGGTTGGCAAATCCTGTCATTTTCCAACATTGGAAAATTCTGTTCTCCGGCTTTCAAAACTGCATTTGTAACACAGCTGGTCACTAGTGGCTTAAACTTGAAAGGGTAGCTATGCAGCTGTTCAGGAATGCCAGGCCTAAGGAATTTGGTTCAAAGCCAGCCCAACAGACAAATCATTGAGTCATAGCTCCAGTTAAATATCAGAAAGATGGATGTGAAGCCAAAGCTCAAGTGGTAGAAGGCAGACATGAGAGAAAAACAAAGGATAGGGCAGGGTCTTTAGCACCAGTAGTGGCACACCCATACACATGAAGGTAGAAAGAAAGACAAAAGGAAGGAAGGAAGGAAGGAAGGAAGGAAGGAAGGAAGGAAGGAAGGAAG